ACATTCATCGTTTCACTCAGAATCTAAAATTAGTAATGATTAAATCTTTAAAAGACGTGATAAAATATGGAAATTAAGTAAAATGCCATTTTATAATATTACAAATACCTATGATGACAAATAAGATCAATAAATTGTAATGTTAAATAATATTATACATATTGTTGATACATTATTAATTACTGTAAATACTGTAGTGGTTACTTAATTGTATTTATTTAAGTATACTTCTACGTCGTGCCAAATAGTTAAACATAATATGTTGACTAAGTATTTAACATTACAATTGATTTTATTGTCATCATAGGTATTTGTAATATTTAAAAATGGCATTTTACTTAATTTCTATATCACGTCTTTTAAAGATTTAATCATTACTAATTTTGTTTAACTTAGATATTTTTTTACACGGAGTTATAACGAAGTGTTTTTGGTGTGATATCAGCTATTTGTTTTATGAAATTAGTTGCAATTTTATTTGACTGTATAGGTATAATAATAATAATCCATAGGATTAGCATATGCATCTTTGGCCTACTGTTTAATCTTTTTTTCTAAAACTTTAATATAAATATTATATCGTTACAGCTAACCCATATTTTATTGTTATGTTTAATAAGTGATGTGTAATGTGCTTGAGATTTGAGTCATAGATGGACCATGGTGGCAAATCACAGAATTAAGAACATATGATTGACCATCGACCTTAATAATTGTTGCCACGGGTAATGAATTAATCACCAGATTGCTTATTTTATTTTATTATTGTTCCAAGTTTTCAGCATAATAATTTAATACCGTCATAATACCTGGATCACGAATTCACTAAACAATGGCAGTCGTTGAGCCGTCAGCACGATTTAAGAAAGTAGTGAAGTACTGAAGTACCTATAGGCTATAATCCATGATATTATATATATCTATATACAATCTATCGCCAATCGTCATTCGTCGTACGTCGTCGTCGCCGCGATGAGAGTTGTAGTGGGGATGGATAAGCGGTGGGTCTGGACGAAAATATCGTAAATATCCCCCGACCCACCGCTTATCCCATCACCACTGTTTAGCGAGTTCCTCTGTTCCCATCTGCACAATATTTCTGATCGATTGATATCTTATACGACTTTATATGTTCAACCGTTTGCCCTGTAGAGGTTGACAAAAATTAGGACGGGTTTTCAATGTTAAAACTCGGTTTCCTATACTCCGCTGTGGCTACTCCGCTATTTTTAGATTCTGAGTGAAACGATGAATGTATTGATTTTACAATGATGTGTGTTTTTTTATTTTTTTATTTTTTTATTTTTTTTGTATCTGTGTACACGATAAGTAGTCGAAATAATGCTTCGATTTTCGACTTCAGTATCTTGTTCGATTGGAAAGTGAATATCGTTGGTGCATTGGGGAGGTCAAAATTTAAATTTCCCAGTAGTTTTCACAAGCGCCGGGAAAAACAACATAAAAATTAAGGAAAAACGGGAATTTTTACGCAAAATTGATTTTCCAAAAAATCGATTTTGGTTATTGGTGTAACTCTAAAACAAATGAACGTATATACATGAAATTTTCACTGGTTGTTTATATTTGCATTTTCTATACACGATAACATTTTCAAAATATTTTGATTTATTTTGAACTGTTTAGGGACATTTTCATTTTCCATTTTTTTTTAGTTTTTTTTCTAAAAATTTCAATAAAATTTTATTTGTTGGTTGCGAAAGCTTGAAAATTTAATAGAAGGCTCCTAATATGTTGTTTCAAAGGCAGATGAAAAATATTAAAAATCCTTAGTCACAATTTTTTTTTATAAGCATTTAAAGTTCAAAAATTGACAAAATATGGAAAAATCACGAAAATTAGCAAATTATTTTGAGTTAAGAATTCGTAAAAATTTTTCTTTTTAAATCTAAGATTTTAAAATTGAATACAAAATTCCTTATAAGATTATTTGAAAAAAAATGTCTATAAGAAAGTCAAATTAAGTTTTTATGAGCGTTTGAAGTTCAAATTTTTACAACATAATTATGTTCTAATTAATTGGATATTCACTCGATTTCTCATGCAGCGATTTCCTTATTTTGTTGTAATTTAAAAACGAATAACTGTAGATACATGAAAATTTCACTGAATGTTTAAATTAGCATTTCCTATACACCATACAATTTTGAAAATATTTTGACTCTTTTGAGCTGTTTACGGACATTTACAGTTTTCAATTTTTTTAGTTTTTTTTTTATAAATATCAATAAAGTTTTATCTGTTGGGCTAAAAAGCGTAAAAATTTAATGCAAGGCTCCTGATTTATTGTTACAATATCAGTTGAAAAATATTAAAAATACATAGGTAGGCACAATTTTTTTATAAGCATTTAAAGATCAAATTTTGACAACATTTTTAGGGGTGATTCGTGATTTATCGGTAGTTTTTCTCGTGGAATTAAATAACTATTGAGAAAATCGGAAAATGACCTTCTTAAAGTACCATCTTGATCCAATTTGCTAAAAGATAAGATAATACATGTTGAAATCGAAGAACTCCTTCTGGTAGAACTTTTGTATACAGGATATAAAAAAAAAAAAATAATAAACACCTTTATAAAATCACTAGCTACCTCGCTTCGCTCAGAATCTAAAATAAGTTATTATTAAACACTTGAGTAAATAAATAATTGATTTTGTTATTTTTTTAAGTGAAAATATATGGGGGCATCGCCACTACGGGTTACTTTTCATGTAATGTCAGGTGGGGGCTACACTTTTTGAGCCGTTTACGGACATTTTCAGTTTTCAATTTTTTTAGTTTTTTTTTTCTATAAATATCAATTAAGTTTTATCTGTTGGGCCAAAAAGTGTAAAAATTTAATACAAGGCTCCTGATATATTGTTACAATATCAGTTGAAAAATATTAAAAATACATAGGCACAATTTTTTTTTATAAGCATTTTAACATCGAATTTTGATAGAATTTTTCAAAATCTCGAAAATTATTAATCATCGTAATTAATAAATTATAAAATGTTCAGTTTTTATAGCTAAGGATTGAAAATTTAAAACAAGATTCCACGTAAGTAGTTAATTCTCTTACCGAAAAATCTAAAAAATATACAATCACAGTTTACTTTTATAGTCATTTTATGTTCAAATTTGGACGAAATTACATATTAAAAAACCTAGTTATTTTGTTGTGATTATATAATATTATTCGTGGGTACCTACTTGAAACTTCTAAAGTGTACTATTATATATATATGATAGTAGGTATCAGGGTTTGTTGTTGATGTTGATGTATAACGTGTTATAAGTACCTAATGGATATTGTGATAATGTGATATGATTAATTTGGAATTTATTATAGGTCAATTTTTTTTTTAATACCATAGATATGTATATAATTTGTATTAAACCTAGACTGACATACCGTCTTCGCTCAGAATCGTTTTTCTTATACAATGATATTGTATCATTGAATTCAAATTTAATAGCATCCATTATACAGTGACCCACTTGTAACCTACTGTACAGCAGAGCGACATCCACTTACCCACCTTTTTTTTACTTAGCTTCGCGCCACTACCGTCGCGCTGCATATGGACATATGGTTGCCATTTTTGAGTTAGCAGGTTAGGTAAAAGTATATTATTAAGCATCAAATTGTCGAGCTTATGGCGGCAATATGGCCTCGTCGCCTCAAATAAAGAAACTTTATATTAAGAGGATGTCAGCGCACTATTTGTTTTTTCCCTCTGGCCCACGCGCAACATAGACATAACGAATTAACGAAGAATCGTTTTTTCTATGTTTTTATGTAAAATCACCCATTACAAAAAAGATAGAGAATAATATTTTTGTGGGAATAACATATCGATTTTATATTTTATTGTTGACTTTGTATTCGACATTCAAAATAAACAAAAACATGTTGTATATTCAAATGATGTTTAAACAATGTCTAATGTTTAAATTGTTTTGAGACAATATTTAGATTTTAGATTTCCTCAAAAATATTAATGTCTATTTTTTTTGTGATGGGTGATTTTACTCTAAGATTACTTAAAACACAGAAAAAAGTACCTAGTACCTACTCAATTGTATTTCAAAAAAATCTCACAATTGTTTTTAGAAATGTCAGAAAAGTTAAGAGATTAAGTAGTTTAAACCACGTTAAAATATATACCAAGATCTAAATCCAATCCACTAAACCAACGAGAGAACACAGATAATGTTGTTACCCAAAAGTTTGATAATAGGTCAATTCACTCTAATATCAAAACTAACAGCACACTATTGAAACAAAACATTGAACAAACATTTGCTTTGTCATCCGTGTGTAAAACGGAGATAATACACATTTATTGGTGCATTAAGACCAATAAGTGGAAGAAAAAAATATAGTTACTTAAGTAAAATTTTAATCTAAATAAAAACCATTTGATATTGCACGTAAAGTACCTAATTTTGGTACATAACTTTGCTGGAGACCAATCTGAGTAATTTATAGGATACCATATTGCTATGAAAACTTTAATTAAATAATTATTTTATATGATATAATTATTAATATTATTATGTCTATACCTTTAAAATGATTGTGGTGTATGATATTAAATCAAATAAAAATATATTTGAATAATATTTTTGAATGAAAAGCAAATTTAAAAATACGTTTAACTAAACATAATATTATCCATTATCAAACAAATTGTAACCATAATTAATTACTTGAACACATAATATGAAAGATTATACAAAATATAAAAAGTAATTAAGTACTTAATGCCAATTACAATAAAAAAATATTTTTAATTGACTTAGTACCATATAAGTAATTAATAAATATGAATAATACACAGTTGATGAATTTTCTGTTATCCCGATACAATAAAAACACAGGTAATGTATGTTAATCGTTCTTCATTTTTGTTTAAGTTGATCAAAAATAGTATAAAACAAGATGATATATGATTTTTCCAAATGCCATCTAGTTTAAATTTATTAATCACTTACAAATACCTGAAATTAATGACCATTACAGTTATATTATGTATTATATTGTTTTATAAATTAAGCATTACTCTGTATTTTTTGCACAACGAGTTTTCTGCAAAAGACACAAATCACTAGTGGCAGCTTTACGACCAGATGGCCAATTCAAGTCATATAGATTCAAAATCAAATCTACAGTAAACAATTCTGGAACGCAACGTATCAAATTTGGCAACTAGAAACAGAATGTACAAGTTACAATTACAGTAAAAAACATTAAAACATTCACAATTTCTAACCAGAGTTGGTGGTAAATGTCTGAGAATAATCTGTGATGATCCTCGTCCACACATAACAAGTTGTTCAAGCAATCTCAACACAAAATGGGTTTCTCGGCACAATTGTTCATGTCTCGAAGCAACAACAGCAATACGACGAAAAAGAGCCACAAGAGCTTTTAATAATATTCCATTTATTCCAGTACCATTAGAATCACAATCTCCGTTATCCAAGCGCATTATTTTGTTTGGTGGCCACGAATTATCAATGTCCTAGAAATAAATAAGTTACAGAAATGTCTGGTTTATTGAACATGCATCATTCTTACAATGTCGATGTTGATTGGTGTTTTATGAATATCGTTTTTTACTATACTGTTTTGCTGCAATTCAACCGACGCGTAAATGCAATATGAACAGAGTTTAGCCAGTGCAGTCTGTTGAGGCTCAATTAGCTCTACATTTCTGTAAGAATTACATTTGAAATGGCTTTAATTTTTTTTTATAACACACAACTTACATATCTGGATTAAACAGGTACTGAGGCATCAGTTCTAGTAATGCAAGTGTACAGAACTCAATATCAAAATGAAATATGGCAAACAATAAGTCAACAGCTTTTTCTAATTCATCGCGGTATTGTAACTTCATCATTTCCTGCAGAAATGTATCGATCAATTGTATAAAATCATGTAAATATATAACTTCTACTATAAATAATAATACCAACCTTGATTAAATTGTTGACAAACCAATCTGATCCAGCTGTGAATAATGTTGTTTTTAATTTTTGAGCATTTTTTACATTCAACCAACCTTCTTCCAAAATACTCTCCCAAATGGGTATAAGTTGTTCAAGGATTGAGTCTTTTGATATAATACTACAAAAATCAAATTTAAATATTAAATGTTATTAGTACGGAGAAAAAATGTACATTACCTGTGAGAAGGTTTGGACGGCATTGTTGGAGGATTCAAATCTTGCTGCATTTTACGAATAATTTGACACATCAATACTTGACGGCTAAAAATTACAAATTTGTTTGTAACAATGGATATTTTAATATTTTTGAATTTTACCATTTAGAGTATATGTCTTGACTTTCTTCTGTCTCTGGAAGAACATTTAATAACTGTTGTACCATATTTAATGGCTTGAGCAAAGCGTCTTGATGCAATACCTAAATTATTTAGTTCTATTATAACAAAATATGTTTATATTATATAATATAATTTAAAATATATACCTGCATGTAAGAACAGAGCCATGCTGCTGCACAAATAGGCAAACAAAACATTGATGAACGCATTGCATCTAAAATACGCTTAACATCATTACTGCTTAATGTAGAATTTTCCCAAGCAACTAAAACATCGTGCGTGGCACCAATTATAGTTATGCAAATTTGGTCCCAACTTGTATCACTAAAAATATTTTTCAATTAAAAATTATTTAATATCATTTGGAAATTTAATACAAACCAATTTATTAAATCTTCTCCATCATTAATAGCAGTTAACAGAGCTGTTACTTTGCTTGGATCACATTCACCCATTATAGTTTCATGGGATTTGGGATTTCCGAGTTCAACCATACATTGTCGGCACCATTTTTCAAAAAATGTATTATTACCACCATCAAGGAAAATTGACTATTAAAACAAAAGAGTTTATTTATATATTTTCCATTTATATTAGGTTATAACATTTACTTGATATCCATATTTTTGAGTTATAAAACAGAGCATCAAGAATGTCATGTCAAATAATACTGCATTAGTGCGTACAGACTTAGCACCATCTTGTAGATTTATTTTCTGGCTGAATTCATTAAATTTTATCACTTTAGAGACAAACATGCGCAGTTTACCCTCAACTGATGCTGCTGCCAGAATTAACTCTAAACTGTTACCAGAGAGTACTTGACTGAGTACACTAACTAAAGCCTCCTAAAAATACACAAACATCATTAGTATTGTTACGAGGACGCTACACAGACATTTGTTGTCTCCATCTTGCAAGTGCATAACATACCAAATTTACGGTCAACAGATCACATTTAGCTTCGTGAGTTTAAAAATTAGAGTGAATTGACTTATTATGAAACTTGATGGTAAGAAGAAGAACATTACGTATGGTTGAATGTGGGATTTTTTAAATATAATAATTCAGGTTTTAAATGAGTTATGTGAGCAATTTTAGTTTAGACTATTTTATAAACGCAAAACATGCTAAAAAATTAACTATCGTAAAAGAAAAACCCTCATATAAACACAGGTAATGTATTTATCATCAAGATTCATAATAGATCGATTCACTCTAATTTTTAAACTAACTAAGCTAAACGAGATCTGCTGAGTGTAAATTTGTTATTTATTATATTATTATTTTACACCTGTAAGACGAAGACAACAAATGCCTGTGTAGCGTTATCTTAAAGAATAAATCAATAGTAATAATTAATAATATCTTACTTGAATTTTAGAGTAATCAGAATCTAAAGTCCTAAGCATTCTTTGTAAAGTAGGTTCCGTTCTCATAATAATGGTCAAAACATTTGAGGGGGGATTCGGGCTACTAAGTGTTGAAACTACACTGGCTCTAAGTAATAAAAATGTTAAGTTTTTAAACTATTTAATATTAAAAAAATTAAAAAATGAATACCTCCTAGCAATTATTGAACTGCATTGATTTTCAGTGACAAATTCTAGTTTTACTAATTCGTTGAGCAGAAGTTCTATACAACTGCAGGCTGTATGTGAGTCAATGAAATCCAGCAATGGAAACATCTCCAATAACATCTCAAAACCTTCAATCACTTCTTCAGACGCTTTGAAACTTTTTGAGTCCTCACACAGATGTTTTATGATGTGTGGCAGTTTAATAAATGTAAATGCACCCCATTGTGGTCCGTGATCTTCTTTACTCAAGGAATCTCGTAAACACATGAGACAAGCACGAATCAATTCACAGTACAATCGCGGATTACTGTAACCCTTTAAAATGAAAGAATAACATTAATTAAAAATAAATATTGATTTTTTTTTATTACCACTAGTAGTACAAACTTTAATTTGACGAATCATTTTTAATTTATCCACCAATACTTGAGTCTCTGTTGTAGGGTTCAACATCACTCTAATGGCTAACAATGGTTGTAATACATAAGTAATTGGTTCATTGTAAGTTGTTACTGATTCCATTGCTGTAAGTTTGGTTGAATTTTTAAAGTCAATGTTGCATAATTGTCTATGAAAGAAATAAAATCATTAATAGATCTAATCTTTTTCTTTTTTTATATATATACAAATTAAAATACATTAAAACATTGTGCACATGTGGAATATTTGTGTCCATTGAATTTTGTACATCTTGACTAATTTCTTGGCACTTATTCACAATGACTAAGTACAGTTCTAGATAGGCAAAAAATTATTATTTATTTATTGAAGCATGACGTACATTGTATACATTATTATACTACCAGTTACTAATAATTATTATATAGTGACTTACCAGCATCATCATGTTTGGCCAAATAAAGCATAGCAAATATAAAATCATTGTTTAAAAGATATTCTAAAATTTGAATGGATTTGTTTGCAATACGATCTTCAAGACGATTGGAGGTACCGTCTTTAGGTACATGTCCACTACGGACACAAGTCAGCAGCCAATCAACCAACGACAATAGTGCTACAGCTAGTACACTTTCTTCTGGTTTTCCTCGACATGTTATGCCATGCTAAGAAAAAAAATTAAAAATTAAAACTCAAAATCTCAAATCAAGCACATGATTATATAGGTGTTGTGCATACAAGTGTAGATTCAAGGAAATCGAGCAAAATAATAACACATGATCTTTTTTGAAACTTGTCATATTTGCTAATGCGCTGAAGGATAGCTGCATAAGACACGAGCTAAAAATAAAATAAAAATATTATTACTGTTGTTTACATAATATTTATGATTAACTTACTTGACAGTTTAGTGAATGTCTTAAATAAGAAAGTACAAGTTCATTGGGATAAGAGCCCACTAGTGCTTGTGATAATATTATGTCGGCCAAATTATAGACATCTCCACTAACCCCTCTGGGCAGAACCTAAATAACACACAAGTATTAGATTAAATTATTAGATAACGGATATTTAGATATTAGATTATTGATAGTTTAATTTCATATTTTTTTATATAAAATTACAATTAAATAATCATAGAGTTAAATAATTTAAATTAGGTGTAGAGGGTCATTTTTTTCTTACTATATTTAGTACTTGGTGAATATATTTACATTTTATAGATGTATTTGGTACTACAATTAATAATGTATGACTTTTAAATGGACAGTTTTTTTTTAAATACACACATTATCTATTTAATGAGAAATATAAAATGTATATAAATCTGAACCAATTCAAGTTGAAGTTGATCTTGGAAAACAAAACATTTAATATTATAAATTTGAAAGTACATTTAAGCAGTTAACACTTGTGATAATTAGTTCAATAATTGTAATATTATTTGTTTTACTTCTTATATTAAAATATTAAATTCAAAATTGCTTAAAAAAACTGCTATCATATTTCCCGATTAATTTTTATTTGAACAACATTACTAAATTGGTATTTATATAATATTTTCATATTTCTTGATGGTTGATTTCTATAACTATTAAATTGGGGTAACTCGAGGTAGAATATTTATAAGTAAAAATTGTTTTAAGTGTTTAGTAAATAACTAAAGAAAGGAAAATGATACCTTGGGTATTATTTATTTGGAAACAAAATGTTTTGTAAGAATACAATTTTTTATAAATATGTTAATACTGTACATTATTTTATTATTATGATAAAAAAAACCTTTAACCCTAGGAAACCGTACCTTTACCCACAAACGACATGGCCAATTTTTCGTTCACTAGTTTCAGTATTGTGCCATTAGTAAACTAAAGTGAATGACCTATTATCAAACTTTTAGGCGTCGGATTTTAACCAATATTTAAAATATTCAAGATATTCAGATATAAGAAATTTAATTAGTGATATTTTGCATACCATAAAATATTTCCTTGAAAATTATAATATTGAAAAAATTGCCGACCCATATAATATAATATTTAGAGCCCGGAACTTGTTGACCTAAATATCTTTAAGAAATGCACACAAAAAAAAAACGTTAAAATGACTTATAAACATCAAAATTGACCACAGAAATACCAAAATTACTTTACCTATGACATAACATTTTTAAAAAATTAAGTTTTAAACAATTCATGGGTCATAAATCGTATTTATTATAGGTTCTATCTCTTTAAAATGTTTACTCTAGAACGAGCCTTCAAAAATATTTTTTTGTAGATTGAAATAATTCAATCAACTTTTTGGAAATTTTTGCAAATAAATGTAAAAAAAAGGTATAAAAATGAATAAAATGCCCCAAAAATACTAAAAAATGACCATTAAGCAATAAATTTCTTAAAAATGCAAAAAATGCAAAATAAAAATTGTACCATTAAATTCTTTATTCCATGAATCAAATTTCTATAAATACGAGGTTTGTATGTACGCATTAGAAAAAAAATATGCAAATGCTCAAGTTCTGGGCTTTAATAATGTTCTTAAATAAAATATTGATAATAGGGCTTCACTGTAATATCAAAACTAACAGTACACTACTGAAACTAGAGAACAAAAATTTTCTGTCGTACGTTTGTAAGACGCATGGGTAGATTACTCATAAATTCATAAACTCATAAGCATAGCTTATATAAAATATTATACTATGTTAGATAAACAAAACAATGTATTGTAATTTAAGATATGCATATATTTATTGTTGCTTGTTATAATCAATTGCTTAAATCTATTTTAATATCTTCTATTAAATAATATTACTAAAATATAGCCAAAACCAGTATCTATTTAATTAAACAGATAAAAAAAATACAAAAGTTACAAATTTTTATCAAACTTAATTTTTTCATAACGTTCATAGACAATGGGTAAGGTATTGGCAAAGCTTCCAGGATCAGTTAATGAGCCAGATTTTCCAACTGGTATTTCTGTAGTGTATAATTCTCTACGGCAAACTTCTCTCAGTACATAATCCCATTCTGCTTCTTTATACAAACGTGTATCATGTATACGCATCATGACACCATCTACTCGTAAAAAATATCGCAACAAAGCGAAAAAACCGCTAGGCATACAGCGAATTTTTACAGAACATACAGCAACACCGTTATCATGTAATTCATCTTCAAATAAAGTCAAGTCTGAGTAAAAAAGTATCTCTTCTTGAACTTTGAGTTTCTCCATGTTTATACGCTCTTCAGTAGCTTCAGCAACTGAATATCCAAATAGAGTGCCTTCATAGTATGTTGAATATGTCCAATCAAACATATTAACATCTTTATCTACTAGACCACTATCGAGTCTAGATTCTTTCCATTCTTTTGAACAAGCAATTTTCACTGGTGCTCTGCAAGGGTCAACGTCCCTGAGTGAATCCAAGGCACAAAATCGTATTCCAGATTGGCCATCATATTTAATTTCTAAAATATTATTAGGAAATACCATTTCAGGTAAATGATGAAGCTGCAATTCAATAGAAAAGCGACAAAAGTCACAACATGATAGCAATGGTACTTGACTGCGCGATGAACATCCTGATCCTAGTATATGACTTTTAGAAGATATAATTGTCCATTTGTTGGTTTCAAATTGTTCACATTTGGCAGTCATTTTGAGTGGATGTTATAACACCTGATTAAAAAAACGGTTTAATCACTGTCACTTCACTGTAGATAATAGTTAATATAATAACAAATAAAAATAAATGAACATTCAAGTAACTAAAATTTAAATATGTCTATATGAGCAGATTTGTAGACAATTGAATATTTTTTCCTTTTTTTACTTGTTTAAATATCCCAATATACTCATATAAGAAATCATTGAAAAACGTTTACTAGGCAAATTTACAAGAAAATTATAATAATTTATTTTTAGCATGGAAATTTAAACAGGTATCTAGGTGTATTATGTACTTTAAGAACTAAAACAGTACAATTTATTTGTTTTTTGTTATAGATACACAAGTAATGATGGTCAGTTGACAGCTATCACACTACTAATGAAATTAATTTTACTATACCTACTATATGTTACAAACTGAAAATTAACTAAACCTGGACCACAACATCATAAGTAATTTACACTTCTACTATTAAATACAGAAGTATCAACTTCAAAATTTGTAAGAAATGAAATTATTCTATGATAAACTTTTGCATTTTGGCATTATTAGATGGTTAAAGGCCAGCATCAGTTAATGCTTTAAATATTCTCGAATATAATAATTAATAATATAAAAAAACTAATCCCAATTTATTTATACCACTTTTATTAAAATAAGTACTTATATACACCTAAATTCAAACAAGTCATTTACATGAGTTTGTACTTTGAAAACTAAATAAGCAATACAGTTTTCATCAATTGGCTGCTAATGGTAACTTCAATATGGCAAATCTATGATAGGGGTACTTTTTTTGTAACACGAGTACATTAGCCAACAAATTATCAAAAAAAAAACAAAAATAATTACCGATTTTATAGATATGCCCCACTGAATTTCAGTCCAACGTTCACCCCACGCTTTCAGCACCAATGATTTCAAGCTACTGGTTTTACTGGTTACTTTGCTTGGCTCCATTTACAACAAATGTTCAGCAATCATTTCAATTCTGTATGAAAAAAAAAGATCATAATAAAAAAAAAAACAACATTTAATTTAATGTTTGACGCAACATTACAACGTCGTGCATACAAAACAATTGCAAATGACGATGTTATATTGAACCCGTATAGGACTTTACCAATTTCAGTCAGTTTAAGCAGTGTACAGAAAAAAACGCAGTGGACAATCTACTTTCCGGAGATCTCACTATTTCATCTCAGTAATCGCGATCCTTGGTAAATGGATTCCGAATATTCGTTTCACAATTCAGTTTTGCATAAAACGTAAGTGGTTTAATCAGCTAAATTCTACAGAGAACAAAATACCTAAATAGTATTTGGAAATTACTATTTATCATTCACTAATTTACTGTTACTGTATGATTACTAATTAGCGTATTATACTTTATATTATTACTAAATAAGAAATAAACTGTAAACGGTGAACGCTATAACACTGACGGATTATCCAGTATCCTCAAGCCGTAACGTAAACAAACGACACCGGGATACTGATAACATAATTTGTATACCGAGGTAGTAAATATGAACGATCCAAAGGTTACAACGGTTGCAGTGACATAGTGCTTTGGACCAACGTATAATCACAGAAAAATAAAAGTATAACTAGTATAAGTAATAAGCACGAACTAATTACTTAATTTTAAAGGATTATTATTTTTTTTAAATACATTTTAACAATTAGAATACAAAAAGTTGTATTCGAATTATGCCTGAATTTATAAATCAAAACTATTCAGCTAACAATAATACAAATAACAGTTAAGAATGAAAAAGTTCTAATTGATGAATATATTTCTTTTTATTTTAGGTTTAAAAGTTCCTAATTGTAGAACCAATTTATAATAATATGTATTTTATTAATTTTAATACCAACTGTAAACTCCCCTATATGTCAGGACGGTTGACGGCGGTGCTCGCTCCCTTCCTGTCAAAAGTAAAAAATATTTATACTTGAATTTTCCATTCATGGCAAAATTTTCAAGGCAGTGGTTATTTTCACGTCCGACGTGAAAGTATTTGTTTTCATGTCCTGCCCTGTGATTGGTCGAATTATTGAAAAGAAAAATATTGATAAAGTATTGATAAAGTATTGAAAAACCCGCGTAATTTTGAATTATTAATGAATCATTACTTAAATTGAATTATTTACTAACCAGTTATTTATTATAAAATTCCCAAAGGAATTATTTTAGAACTATTTTAAAGTTTACACCAATCAATTTTATTGTACCTATTATCTACCTTGATAAAATGCTGTCATGTTTAGTGGTTACCTACTAATCTTCAAACATTGAAACATTTTAATCCAATTTTTTCCAGTTATTCAATTAAAATAATAATTGCTGAAAACAATCATATTTTATATATTGTGTTATAAGTGTTTTTGTTACCTATTGTGTAGTGATTAGTGAAATTATATAATATGAATTTAAATATGAATATTTGTGACAATGTAAGCAGTGCCGGATCTAAGTCTCAGGAGGCCGGGGTGCAACTACCAATTGGAGGCCCCTTAAAAAAAAAATTTTCTCGATACATTACACTTATCTATTTATTTGATACGTTTCGTCATTTTGATATATTAAACAAACTAAAAAACACAAAATTTAAATTCCATAATTTAATAGGTAAATTATGAAATTATGCATTCACTTACTGAGTCCCTATTCTCATATCTATTATACCACCATAGGCCGTGCATAGACTTTGTTCGCAGGGTATGCGACTGATATAATGTAGTGCCCCATGATATAAATGCTCTTAAAATGGATGTACATGGCAGGCAGGGGGGAGTGATGGAGCCCTATATTATATAATTTTCAATTCAAGTAATAATATTCTAATATTATATAATATAAATTCTAATAAAATAAATATTTAATTTTACCACATATTTGTTATACATAATTTTTATGGGGGCCATATCTTAGTACATATACGGTTATTTTTAGGTGCATATTTTAGGACATATAATTTGGCCATTTTTTGGTGCATATTTGGGTATTTTTAGAGCCAAAAGTCCCTTGTAGATGATGGTATTGCTAAATCTGCTGTGTATGAAAACAAACCTGTACATGAAGAGGATGTTGAAGTTGTTCCTGAAAGGGTATCAACTGCTGTTATAGATAAGTCAATAGCAATTGAGGAAATAAAATGTTATTTAACTGAAGGAAGTTGGCTTGCTATCCAGCAAGTCATTAAAATGAAAAAATTGACACCTACTTGGATCTGTCCCATATGTGCTAAAGATGCTGCAACTAAATCCATTTGTTGTAACAGATGTTTAGAGTGGTCACACTTTATTTGTGTTAGAGTAAATGCTAATTTTAAATCCAAACTATGGTTTTGCAATTTTTGCAAAGTAACACAAAGTAACACAAATTTAAAAAATACGACTTAGGCTAATTAACCTAAGGATTAATTATATATTATTACACTAACGATGTGACTTATTACAATTAACTATTATAACTTAAATTATTATTATTGTACGACGTGACTTATTAAAATTAACTATTATTATTGTATTATAAGTATATATAGATAAATTATAGATAAATTGTGATTTGTGAAGACCATATTATAAATAAATTACGCGGGTTTTTCAATACTTTATCAATATTTTTCTTATCAATAATTCGACCAATCACAGGGCAGGACGTGAAAACAAATACTTTCACGTCGGACGTGAAAATAACCACTACGAATTTTCAAACTATTTAAATAGCAAATAATATTTAGTAAACACCTCTTTCGAATTGACAAATTTATAGGTCTTGATCTGCAGACAGCGAGGTGGGGGTAGATTTCGGCTTATCCACTACAGATGAGCGACCAATTATCGGAGTGAGGTTAAGTTTGCGAGACCTAAGAAGTTGTTGTTAGCTGTAAAATCATTACATACCTAGTCATTAAAGATCGATAAAATAATATTTCATACTTACTATTTAATTTTTTTTTAAATGTTGTGCACAATTTATTAGTATATTTAATTTCAAAAGTAAATTTTAGTTCTAAAACCTAAATACTAACAAAGTCAGATTTTGCTTGCGCGTCTATGAATTTTCACATTATCTTCTTGGTCCCGATCAAAGTGAATTACCACGAAAAACGGCAAATTGAAACACTCTTTTTACTTCCAGTGATAACGTCATTTACGCATAAAAAGAAACCGGTTTTAACCAATAAATTAAATCGTCGGACAACACTCCATCGCGATAGTACAAGTTACAACGAATTAAGAACGATATTGCAAAAATTAATTGCCGGAAATCATTAGTTTTTAATTGAAAATTACATTGAAGTCTGAATTTGGTGGTCAAACTTATTTAAAAGTTATAGGTAATTTAAATTTTGGGTATTTTCATATATACCGGACGTACCTGGCTGCGATCGCTCAGTCAATTATCATCAAAAACATCCATCGACTTGTTATGTAAAACCACCATGGGTGGGTGTCAGAATTATTTTTGCTCAATCATTCTAAAAAGTTGATTTAACTATGTTTCCGAAAATAAAAATTGAAAAATGTGCGTTGGCGCTACACTATATGAATTATAATTTATAACACATAATTTAAAAAATATTTTAGTGGTTTTAAGAAATTGTCTTCAAATTATCACTTTTAAAGCGCAATGTATAAAATACGTGAGCCCGAACAGTACACCGCTCTAAGTTTGATACGTATGGGTACCTACCTTTTTTGCATAACTATTATCCAATGCACTATACACCTTGGAACACCTTAGGTTGTAGGTATTTAAAACAATTATTAACATTTATATTTTAAATACATTATATACGCACCTATGTTCAGTGCTTGAATTGGAAAAAAAAATAGAAGGGGGATGCAAAAGTATAAAAGATATGTGCGTCCCCGAACATTTAAATGTCTTACTGTTAAGTGGTAGCATATGTCCCCCTCCCGCTACAATGACATTTTACACCATACAGCAATAAACCTAACCTAACCCTGATAC